TTTCGGTTTGTTTCCCACAGCATGAATTAGGTAGAGCGATCATGCTCAATTGTATTTCAGTATCAAAAGTTTCTCATTTCAAATGCCGATACGTATATGTACTTTTACTGTAAATTTTCATTCCAGGCTTGTTTTTATATTTCATGTCAAGCTTGTCTGCTATGCATAGGCCTTTCCACAAATATCGCGTAAAAATAGCCTAAATATCTTTCCGAAATATCACAAAGCAATTTCTAAACATCTCGGGAAACCGTCTAAATATCTCTTATGTTTATTCAAAAATAAACCGATTTTGAATTACTTAGGCGAACATTTTCAAAAATTTCTTGAAAACAGAAGAGTAGTAAGATTTGGGGAGGAAGATTCAATCCACCGTAGGAAAAAAGATGGCCGATGTACATTTTACCACCAGGCCTTGCGAAGCTAACACAGCCTAAAAGGAACAAAGAAAACCAAATTTTTACAACACATGTCCCTGTACTAAGGACATTAAGTAGCCTAGGTTTGAAGATTGTATAACGTTTCTGTGCGTTTTTATGAACGTTGTTAAGGTTTTCGTGCGCTAAGAACTATGGGTAAATGTACCAGTCGCCATCTTTTTTCTTACGCAGGAATCAAGCGCTTCGGCTACCATCCGCCTTTTTGGAAAATTGCAGGTTTAGCACTTTTAGTGATATGGAATACATTTTTCAAGGGGCAAATCGATGATCTGGATTGTTTCTGGCGATTGCTTCCAGAAAATAGCGAGGGAAACACAGGGCTATAAGTATTTATAAATATCCTGAAATTTCTAAATATCTCAATGTTTTTTAAATATCTCGGAAACCTCTGAATATCCGGATATTTGTGGAAAGGCCTAGAGCCTATGTAACTATTCTTGGTTTTCACCACTCATCAAAACTAAAAATCGTAACTATTCAATAAAGGAATTTGGGATATGATAGATGATTTCTATATTAAGAACCTCGCCAAGAATCAGGTCTCTGCTGTTTTTCATTCGCGCGTTTTTCGCAGAAGTGTGTCTCTCAAATTTATAGAGCTTTGTATGGAGACGCCATGTTTGTGCCCTTCGGAGGGCACAAACATGGCGGCCGTAAAGTAACAGAAATATTTGTCATTGAGTTTTGCTATTGAAACGAAAAATGTTTACTCTAGAGCTCTGACACATTGAAATAAATGCTTCTTCTAGTGCAAGCACCGTTTAGGTAGTAAAAACTAAAGCGATAACTTTTAACCTACACGACAGCCTTTTCGGGGCGCCATTTTCATGTCACGCAACAAAAAAGCGTGGAAATTCAAACGTTCTCTATTACAAAAAGAAGAACCCTGTCAAGCTAAAACATTGTCAAACGTCAAGTTCCTATAGGGTGTTTTGTCTGATGAAACTAAAACCTCAGAAGAAAAGGAAAATTTTAATTTTGGAATACGCTTATCATTTGTCAGAATAAACCGGTTGGGATGGCCGTTGTAGAATGGTAAGGGTACGTTTTTCCAAAATTAGCAAACCAACCGAACGAGATGGCGCTTACCATTTGCAATTCAATTTCTCGTAATTGTTTTCGGCTGATGAGACACTGGAAACTGGAAAGTTTACCAAATATGGTAAGGAAATTTCCGCCGTTCCGTTCCAAACGGAAAAAGAGGACTACCTCTGGAGGTAGTCTACAATTTCCGAACGGATTTTCCGGAAAATTACTGTTCCATTTGACTTTCAACCGAAATTTCCGGATTTTTTTGCTAAATGGTAAGCACCCGTGACTGCGTCACATGAAAACCAAGAATACTGAAATATAACAGTCATTGATTGGCTGCACGTGGATCGCGTGACACTGCTCATCATGTTATCTCCCAGCGATCTCCAGCCTCTCTTATGTAAAGACTTTGACATAACATTATTATCCGGCAGTAAACTTTAAGAGAACTTCCATGTCGAGTAAAATGGCGGAGGCAGTACACGATACGGATTACCAAGAGCTAAACGTCGTGTTCAAGTCTCTGGGACAGCGAGGAAAGGAGGCTGAAATAAAGAAGGAGTACAACGACCATGTTGTGACTTACGTTTTACAGCAGCTGTCAGAGTACTTAAGCCAAGCTACTTCAAATCGCATCATGGCCCGTCCTTATGGAAGTGCAGTGGAAGATTTAAAGAGTCTTGTACCAGACGATTATGGAGATGTGGATATCATGGTCTTCCCTACATCAGATGACTGTTTGGTGCACGAGGAGCTACTGGAATATTCACCTGACAATCCAGTGCATGCAAAAATCATCGGACGTGATCATCCCGTGTTTAAGTCCTGCCTCGTGGAAGACACCGATTATGTGGCCACCTCAGCCTTGA